AAACTGAGGCAGAACTGGCATACTCAGGACACAGAACTCGTAACAGCAGTCAGCATTCATCCCAGCCACATCGGACTCTGAGTCCAGTGCTCTTTTTCCATCACCAAGTTTCTTCTCAAGGAGCAATAAATTCAAGGAGCTGTCCCCTTTGCTCTGTGTCCTTCTGATGGGCTCTGTCTCGTGCTCTCTCCTGTCTACCCCTGTCATCTACAGGAGCTGGAAATCGGAAGGCTTAGACTGGGTGCCCATGGCAGGGCGGGATCGGAGCAGACAGGGGCCTCTAGATTCTGGCCCACACACCCTCCCAGCTGGGTCAGCCTCTGCAAGTCTATAAATTCCATTATTCATCAAGTGACTGAGTGAGTTTGCCTAGACGATGAATATTTTATTCACCTCCAGACACTGTCCCCAGAGGCTTCTTGGAACAATATTGCTCCCTAGCCAAGGGGCAGAGGCCAGAGCCTCTGCCCTCCCTGGATACCCCCTTCCCCTCAGCAGCTCCCCCCACAGGCCCCACAGTTTGGACAGCATTGTGGTTAGCAGTTCCGGATTGACCTTGAGCTTGGCACTTGCCCTCCCTCCACTTTGATATCTTCTTCTGGACAGTGGGCTCCTTTGTTGCCCTGTCAGGCTCTCCATGCCTCCACAACTGCACCCTACGTGGCTGGGCCCAGGGCTTTGCCAGGAGCTCTCCCTGGTGCTGAACGTGGGTGGCAAGAGAATGTTGGCCTCGGAGGAGTTGCTTCCAGCCAGCGAGGGTGGCAAGCCTGCTAGTTTTGAGAGGAGAGGGCTCCAGTCTCTGGAAGGGAGGCACCTAGCCTCTGGACAGGGTGGTCTCCATTTCTCTCCCCTTCCTCTCTGCCACTGGGTGGATTCTCCCAGGGTCGCGTGGGGCTCACCTCTCCTGGTGTCTCTAGCACCCTGAGCCAAGGACTTGTGGGCAAAGTCTGTGGAGATCCCTCTCTGGAGGGGCCCTTGAGTTGAGTCTCCCGATGGCACCCCAGGGAGTGTAGTGTGATGGCGGCAGCACCTTCCCCAGATGGGGAGCGACAGACATAATTCACACCCTGCAATCACGCCATCTGCTCCCCAGTGACGTGCAGAGGAGAGGACGGGGCTGCAATGCCGAAGGGCTGGTGGGCTGGTGGGTGATCATTCATTCATTCGTTCTCTCCTTCATTCATCCAACAGAGGTTCAGGCAGCCCCTGCCAATTTCCCAAGCCCAGCTGAGTCCTGTGCCAGACAACAGATCTGGGGCATACAGACCCCGCCCTCCAGGGCTAAGTGTGGTCCTCTCACACTTCTGAGCTTTTGCTTACCCTGGCTTTTCCTCCTGGAGTTCCCTTGACTCGTAGTAAGAACTATCAAGTCCTGTGCGCTGAACACTTCACATGCATGATCTAAGCATTCATTCTGGGAACTAGATCTGTTCCTATTTAACAGGTGAGTAAGTTGAGGCTCAGAGAGGTAAGTGTAGTCACCCAAAGGCATATGTCCAGGCCTGGGTTCTCAAGGCGACCTTGTGGCACTGCCTCAGCCACCCCATGTCCAAGGTTTTTCAAGCTGGTTTTGTGACCTTCCTCTACAAAAGCTGCCCTCCCTCCCCCCGCCCTTCACCAGACAACGAGCTGCCAGGTTGACCACGCTGCTCAACATTCTCATGCTGTTCTGTGAGCTCCGGGTACAAGCAGCTCCCTCTCATCCTCTGACTCCTGGCCTGACTTGTTTGTAGGACCTAGCACCCAGGGGTTGTCCCGTGACCTGAGGGTCACAGTGCTGGAGGGCTGAGGAGGTCTGTGATGGCTCCCGGCAGAGGCAGCCAACCTCTGAGCCCAGAGGGATGTAATCAGAATGACCCAGAGCCTGGTTCCTGAAGCTCTCACCCTTACCCTAACCCAGCTCTTGCCTTGGGCTCGAACCCCTGCCTTGCCTCACAAGGATACACGACCCATCCTTGTCCCTTAGCAGGGTTGCCCTCAACCATACATGGAGGCAAGGATAAACTGCTTTCAGAGGTTCAGGGGATGGCTTTCAGGTTATGTGCACAGCTCAAGTACCCATGGGCAGATCAAGAAGGGGGGACAGGTGAGGCTGGTGACACATGGAAGTCGCCTGGGCCCACAATCAGCTCTGTGGGTCGTGGCTTTGGATCAGGGGAGACACAGGGACTGGCCTGAGTCACCAGAGACAAGGATGTCAGGGATGGCCCAAGCGGTGGGGTGTACCGTGACCTTGGGGCTATAAACCCTATCAGGTCCTGTCCCTCTGGCCTGGTGGGAGCCTGTCCGAGGAGGCAGCCTGGTCACAAGATGTAGAACTTGACCCTTATCTACAGACCAGAAGGAGGGCTTTGTCTCCCTGGACACTCATGCCCTCCCTCAGGGCAGATTCTCAGGACCGGGCTGTGTTGGGTAGACCCATTCACTTGATTTTTGCTTAATTTATTCAAGGACCGTTTCTGCCCCATCCTTTGGAAATTCTCCGCTGGGCTGGGAGCTACAGAGGATATAGCCGGCGCTGTCCCTCTGTCAGGTGGGTGACCACATGCTCTCTAACAGCCCCTCTTGAAGCGGCTGGGAGCCGGGTTTCCCATCAGCCCCTTGGCAAGCTCCAGCCCAGCCTTCCTTGGTGCGGGGGTCCTGATTTAGAACTACTTGCCCTGGGCTGGTGCAGCCTGAGCACTCAGGAAAAAATGAAAAAGAGCTGCTGTAGCTCAAGCTCTTGATCAATACATAGCAGCTATAATTATTATTAATTCATATTCCTTGGGGGGAATTTTCATGCTAATAGGAAACTCCCAAGAGCTACAGGGGATACTCTGTCAGGCACCTCTCCCATGTTACATCACTCCATCCTTACCACTGCCTGGAAGGTGGCACTGCCAACCCTCACTTCATGCGGGGGGGGATCCAAGGCTCCGGGATGTTAAGGGAGGTGACTAAGGTCCCATGGCAGCAAGGAGGTGGTAGAGACAGGAGCCCCAGGTCTGCCTGGCTCCAAGTTCTGGGTTCTTTCCTCCCCACTCCTCTGCTGCACCAGAAGACCTAGGGAACTCAAAACATTCCGGTCTGACAGTACATCGTCAGACCGGGAGACAGATGGATGAGGAGGGCTTTGGGGTAGGGCTTTTGGGGGGCCTCTCCCACCCCTGGCCCTTGGTTCTAAGGGGCACCCAGCTGATCCATAGAGGCTGGGGAGACAGACAAAGAGCTGAGGTCTTTCCTGGCTCTTCTGCAGGTTGGGGACGCTGCTGGTATCTCCCTCCCAAGCCATGCCCGAGGAGTGCTGGGGGCCAGGGCTGACATCTGTCCCTGAGCCCCCTCTCCCCAGGCCCCAAGATAGGGCTGTGATTAATCAACGACAAAAGCAGAAACAAACAGAAAAATGTAATCAGCTTGGGAAGGGCAGGGCTGGGCTGGGCCGTGGCAATCAGCTTTCCCGCTGGGGCTGTTGGCTGATTGAGGGTGGTTCCGGTAGGGCCTCCAGGAACAGGTCCAGCAGCTGGGGCCATGGAGAGGCCAGGGGGTCAAGCCCTCCCCCATATATATGCATGTACATCTGTGTTCCCATGCCCATGCCACTCCTAGTCCATGGGTCCGCACACCGCCCCCTCCCACCCATGGGCTCCTGCCCAGAAGCTCCTGCCCTCCCCTCCCCTGCCAGCTCACAACCTTGGCACATGTAGGTTTCCATACACACTCCCAACATGCATCCATCTGCGTGTGGACTCAAAAACACATGAACACACCCTCCTGGGTAACAGATATATGCACACACATGCTGCTCCCACAAACACCTGCCCCCTCACTTTGATGCACACACGTGCCTTGGGGCCTGGGTGAGTCTTGCGCACACATGGGTCTAACCAGCCATGTGAACTGAGAGGCTCTCACACCAGGCCCTACAAGCACCCAGCCACCTCTCTGTTCTTCAGTGCCCTGAGCTGGGGGTGGGGAGAGGCATGAAGCAGACCCTTGGCAGCTCCCCAGGCGGAGTGGTGGGGGCTTGGAAAGGAGCCAGGACTGAGGCTCTACTGTGGGGGGAGCAAGGTCAGCCGCCAAGTCTCAGCCACAGGCAGGAGAGCCTGCCCCAGATTTGTCCCAATCTCCTGCCTGCCACCAGCGGCTTATGACCTTGGTCAACGCCCTTCTCTCCCTTCTCTCTCAGCCTCAGTTTCCCCACCTTGGAGCCCCTCCTGGCACCAATACTGTATGATTCTCCTCCAGGACCCAGGCGCCTGGGGCCATCTCACCTCGTTGCCAGGTCTCTGGTCGTCAGTTCCCTGCTCTGTTCGTGCGGGGTGGGGGCGGGCCAAGGGGCAGGAAGGAAGGGCCCCACCCCCACCTTGGTCCCGGTGGCTGCGGACTTGGGGCGAGAGATAAGTGATCCTCCGCTGGGAGAAAGGGGAACCTAGGGCGAAGAGGAGAAGGAGCCCGCGGCGGGCTAGGGGCGAGAGCTCAGGGACCGGCGGCGGGAAGGGGCGGGCGGGGTAGGGGGGGAGCGCAGAGGGGGCGGGCAGGCTGCGGGCGGGAGGGCGGGGGAGGCGGGGAGCGCAGCCAGCGCTGCACAGAGCGAGCGAGCGAGCGAGCAAGCGAGCAGGGGAGGCAGCGAGAGCCGGAGCGGCTGGCCGGGCGGCCGCGCCGGCGAGCGGACTAGGGGGCGGCTAGCAGCGCGGAGCGCGCGGGGCACCGAGGAGCGGGCGCGGCGGGAGCAGCGCGCGGCAGCCCGAGCGGAGAGGCCCGAGCGGCGCCGCCCCCGTCGCCCCTGCGGGGCCCCCGCCGGGAGCCCGAGGAGGGAGGGGGCGGCATGGACCCGCGGCCCGGGTCGCGGGGGCGCTAGGCCCCCGGAGGGGCGCCCCCAGTCTCGCCACCGCTGGGGCCGCCGGGCCGCCCTCCGCAGCCGCGCGCCCCGCCCGCTCCAGCCGCCCCCGGGGCCGCCGCCGGCCCATGAGCCCCGACCTCAAAGTTTGCGGCGGGCGGGCGGGCGCGGAGCCTCCAAGATGCCGTTCCACCCGGTGACGGCGGCGTTGATGTACCGGGGCATCTACACCGTGCCCAATCTGCTGTCGGAGCAGCGCCCCGTGGACATCCCTGAGGATGAACTGGAGGGTGAGTGCCCCCGCCGGGACCCCTGCCCGCCGGCCCTCCTACCTGTGCGCCCAGGTGAAGCGCGGACTAGGGGCGCAGGGGGCGGGGGGCCGTCCGCAGGTGCCGGCTGCCAGGTGGGCGCTCCAGAGAGCAGCTGCTCGGGGAGTCAGGACCAACTCGCACCTCTGGGTGCCGCGGTGGGGGTAGCCAAGGCTGAGGGGCGGCCCAGCCCCTACCCGCATGGTCCCCCGCGCTGCGGAAACTTGCCGAGCCCCGCAGCGGGGTCACGGGGCCGCGCAGTCCGCGGTGACGGTGCGGCAACGCGGCGGTCTGGGTGGGGGTCCGAGCTGCGCCCCCCGCGCTGGCCCGGCCGGAGCACCCGCATCCTGATCCCCTCCGCGGCGCCCGCCCGCGGCTCTGCGCTCGAATTGACATTCCGCTCGTGTCGCTTTTCAAATCCAATCTGCTAGGGCAGCGGGAGAAGGGGGAGAGGGCGACTGCCCTGCACTTGCCGCCTGCGGGGCTGTCCCCAGTCCCTCCTGCGACCTTGGCCCCTTCCCCACAGCCCTGCGGGGACCCCCAGCCCAGAGCGCTGGGAGGGCGGCCCAGGAGGTGGTGGCGACAACAAGTGGCCAGATTGGGCGGCTTGGTCGCGATAACCAAGCCAGGAAGGGAAAGGCAGAGGCTGGGACCCAAATCTGTTTCCCCCAGTAGTCCCTCTGCCTTTCAGCATGGATAGGGACCTTAGGCAAGGGGCTGGGCAGGATGAGAGCAGAGGTCAGGGGCTGGGGTCCTTGGAATGAAGATTCTGCGGAGCTGTGAGAACCCTGGGGCCTGCAAGCTCTTGCCCTCCTGGGATGGGGTCAGGTTCTCAGGCCTTCCATCCCCCAGACCTCTTAGGGCCCCATGTGGAGTGGAGTGGGGGTTTGGGGCTGATAGTCTTAGGCCCCTGGGATCTACTTGTCTGCTGTTGCGTGAGGGGCTGAGATTGCCAGAGGCTGGGCCTCTCTTCAGTTATCTTGGGGCCAAGGGTCTCTGCGATCTGGAGCTCATCAGGGCTTGGGGGGTGCAGCTGAGACACCAATGCAGTCAGGCATGATGACGGGAACACAGGGGAAGTTATGTAGAGAGGTCTTCCCTCATCCCCCAGCCCTGGAGAGGGTAGATGTTGGGGGAGTCAGACTGGGTGAAGGGAAGATCAAGAGGGAGAAGGTAGCTACCCTTCCCCCAACACATACACCCTGTACCATAGACTATGAGCCACCTGCTCCTCTCAAGTCCCCTGAAAGTCCCCAGAGGCTGGCAGAGCCACGGAGACAGGGTCTGGTGTCTGAATCAGGCAGAACAGAGAGATGAGTGCTGCTGCCTTGAATCCCAAAGCCCAAGTGTCTGCCTTGTCTGTCCAGTGCCTGGGACAAGGAGGAGGTGCAATGAGGACCAAGAGGGCAGGGGATGGGGCACAGGCCATCTCTTCTCCACCATTGTCTTCTCCTGCCCTAGGTCACCCCGAACCTCCTGCCAGTGTCTCCCTCCATGGGCCCTCTATCGCTTCCTTCTGGCCACTTGGGCAGGGGGCAACACTCTCCCCCCAAAACCCATGCAGCTTCCACCTCATTCCCTATCCTTGCTCCCAGCACCCCACTCTGACACTGGTAGTCCGGCTATGGGCCTGGCTGGGTCTCTCCTCTCTTGTTCTCCCAGCCCTGGGGTGCAGACCTGAGAAGCTGAGAAGAGGCTGGGATAGAGGGGTGAGCAGGCACAGGGAGGGCAGTGCAGGGGTGAGGAGGCTGCAGGCTCCACTTGGGCTGCCTGGCGGGCACACTGGCAGAAACCCAGCAGTGTTAGTCACCAGCCACACCAAACACACTCCCTGCTTCTCTCCTGTCCCCCTCTCCTGGGCCCTGAGGAGCAGAGGGACCGTGGCACAGGGGCATCTGAAGGGCAGGGCCCTCCTTGGGGTGACCAGGAGGGGGTCATGGAACAAGCAGGTGCCTGGGTGACCCCAGCCCATCTCCTAGCCTGCGGGCAGCTGTAGGTGAGGGCAAGAAGTCCTCCATGGCTGACCCCCTCTTCTTGCCTGTAGGCGCTCCAAAAGCCCTCCTGGGGGACCAAGTCTCTGCAGTCCCCGGTGGTCCTTGAGTGCCGGGGCTGGATGGAAAAGGTGACAGCCCCCCCCCCATCCCCCTGCCGCCCAGTGCCTGGGTAAGATCCAGGCCCTTTGCGGAAAGGACACCCACCGGTGGGGGACCCACACGTGCAGAGAAGAGGAAGCCCAGCAGCTTGGGATGAAATGCTGCAGACATTATGTGCCTGCCGCAGAAATCCAGGGGGCGGTTAGTCTGAGGGGGAGAGGGACAAGGGAGGTGGAGAGCTCAAGGGGTGGATGAGGGCTTCCCAGCCAGGCAGGCCTGGGTTCGAATCTCTGTACCGTCCGCTTACAGAGTGACCTTGGACTATCACTTGGCCTTTCCTGCCTCGGTGTCTCCATCTGTGAAAGGGGCTTGGCATCGCCCCTCCCCAGGGCTGCTGGTGGCAGAGGACACAATGGAAGCTCTTATTGAGGGGACTGGTATGCAGCAGGAGCTTGCTGACCCCGATGCTGCTGCGGGGTTGGCCAAGTAGGGGGGTTCTTGCAGGAGTAAGAGCCTGGAGTGTGGAGAGATTGGTGAAGCTCTTGAGTTAGGGACCCAGGATGGACGGGGGGGCGGACAGGGCAGGAAGGCTGGCTCCGCGAAGGGCTGGGTAGAAGAGTCCTTGAAGGTCTGGCAAAGGCACCTGGGGACCTGTGGCCTTAGGGAGCCGTGGGTGGCAGTTGGCAGGGTAGACGGGGCTGGGCAAAGCTGGCCCGGAGCCTGTCTGACCCTGGAGAAGGAGAGGCACAGGCTTTCCAGCTTCTCCCTGTATCTCACACCCCGTCTCATCCCTGCCATGACACACACTCCCAGCCAAGCCTCCCAGGGTCTGCGGGAGCACAGAGGCTGGCCCAGGGGCATCAGCGGACTTGAGCACCTGAGGGTAGGAGTGCAGTGGCTGCAAGTCCTAGGCCAACCCTTTCTGGCCAGAGAGAAGAGGAAGGAGACAGACAGACAGGCAGACAGTCACCAGGGCAGGGTTCTGAGGTTGGCGCTTGGCCTGCTCAGTCAGACAGTGGAGCCCATACTGAGAGTGGCCAAATAGGGCATTCGGAGTATGGGGGGTGGGGGAGCCCCTATCCTGCCCGTTTTCCCTGCAAGCCCAACAGCCGCCTCTGCGTAGGCTCAGGGCCGCCAAAGTGGTGGGGCGTGGGGCCAATGCCGCGGAGAACGGCAGCTGCGGCAGAGACAGGCGCTGCCCCCCCATTCACGAGTGACCTCCAGCGTGTGCACCCCGTCTCTGGCCTCCAGCTTCCAGACGGAAGGCTGATGTGCCTTGAGGCCTGTCAGGCTGCCTCAGGGTCTGTCACCAAGATTCCCCTGCCCTCCGCTGTCTCCCGTCTAGTCCCGTGCGTTTCCTCAGATCTTCCAGAAGAGGACCAGGGGCTCCAACTGAAGCGGCCATGGGCTCTGAGGGCCACACCCGGCTCTGGGGGCCACACCTGGCCAGGGTGGGAGGGACAGCCTGGACCCCAGCTCCTTGCAGGGGAGGGGGCCAGCATCTGTGGCAGTCCCACTGTGCGTCAAGGGTTTTGCCATACCCACCGCAAATTTCCCAGTGGGCCTCTACCAAGGAGGAAACTGAGGGACCTGGAAAGATGGGGTGCTTGACTCTGGGTTCCTCCTTCCAAAACTAGCCCCTCACCCAGAAATCTGGGGATGTACCCTCAGCCCTGGCCTCAGCTTGATTCCTCTCTTCTGTGGTGGCCAACACTTACTCTTAGTAGGACTGTTAGTGAACTAGGAGTACCTGGGCTCCGAATGATGACCTCACACCGGGTATTGCGTGCATTTCCACCCAGATCTTTTCTCTCTGTGCTGCAGAAGGGTGGGCTCCCCAAATCAGTCATTCATTCATTCACTCACTAGTTCGGCGACGTTTATGCTTGACAGACAGGCACTGTTCCCGTCATGGGGCCCCAGCGCAGCCTTCATAGTTCATTCATAGTCCAGTGTGGTCCGTGCAAGGGCAGGGCAGGGTCTGTGGGCGCCCAGAAGCAGGTTGAACTCAGCTGGGGTTCAGGGAGGACACCAGGAAGGTGGTGCTGTCTATGCCAGGAACCTGAGAGGTATACAAGTTTGCCATGGTTTGGGGAAGAACTTCCAAGTGAAAGGAGCCCCTGTTCAAAGGCCTGGACATGGAGCGCTCCTGGTGCTCACCAGGGCTGAAAGGGCCCCTCGGGCTAGAGTTCAGGACACCTGAGCTGGAAGGGCCTGGAACTGGGTCAGGGTGGTAGAAGTGGTGGACAGTGTGTCTGGTTGGTCTGTTGGTGCCTTAGTCTGTACTTGGAGACCCTTAAGCCGTAGGACCCCATTAGCCACCTTCATGACAGCCGGGGCCCCACTTAGAGACCTCTGGTGGTGGGGAGCTTACCACCTTGTCAGTGGCCTGGGAGAGTGGTAGGTGGGAGTTGGCTTGGAGTTCCAAGTCCGGGATTTATAGAAACCCCTGGGCCTGTGGCTCAGATCTCCCATCCCAGTTGCTTTCCGGCCTAGGGGGCCCCTGGTCAGACCAGATTCTCAGGCCCAGCCTAGGATGGACGGGGATGTCCAGAGTCAGAGGATCTGGGGGTCCAGGCCGCTTGGCTACAGCCCACCATCTCTGTCTTGGCCTGTGTGCCCTCTGGTCTAATCTCCAGGCCTTGGGTGCAGACACCGGGTAGGAGGAGCCGGATGAGATTTTGGGCCCTTGACCCAAGCTTCCTTGCCACAGCCCCTAGTCTGTGATGGGGCCAGTGGGATTAAGGAGTAACCCCATAGCACAGGATTCCACAGTCTGTTTTAGGGGTTCATAGTCCCTTTAGGCCAGGCCTGGGCCAGCCAGATTCCTGCTCTCACCAGAAATAGCCTTGACCCCAAACTGACCCCAGTCTGGCTGTTTTGCCTCTCTGTGCCTCAGTTTCCAGGTCTGCAGTGTGGACCATTTTCATCTGTCTCTGCTTCCAAATACACCCACACTCACACCCAGGGACAGGATTCTGTCTGCTGAATCCCAGCCAGGGGACAGCTTAGGCAAAGGCCAAGAGGCTGGCAGGTGAGCAAGGATGCTGGAGCAGGCGGTGTGAGTGGGGTGAGGTTCCCGTCTTGGCCAAAGAAAAATGCTCTTGAGGGCTCTTCCGGGGCTGAGTGGCCACGAAGAGATAGCAGGTAGAACTAAGGCGAGCGGGGAGAGGTTAGGACCCTTCAACGGCTCCTGGACATGCTTGGTAAACCCCCTTGTTGTACCCACATCACTACTGGGCATTCTACTGTGGGTGGGACTGGTCCCAGGTCACTCACTGCTCCCAGCCCAGTGCATTGTTCTCTGTCCCTGTCACCCAGGTCCTCAGGCCTCTGTCTCCCCTTCGGTACGATGCAGGGGACGATCTCCACATCTGAGCAGGCCTGGGCTGGCTAGGGCCCCTCCATCCAGCCTCCACCTTCCCCCTAACCTCGGGCTGGGGAGGCAGTCCCTGCACGGAACTGTCAGCCTGACTCTGAGCGGGAGCTGACGGCTGCCTCATGGGGCATCCTTAAGGAGTGCTGGCGGGAATTTCCAAGCCGAGCCCAGGGGAGGAAGTATGCGATGAGGATGAGGGGGAGTGGGGGATGGAAGGAGTGAGGGGTGGACAGGGAAGCCTTTGGCCCCTCACAGAGGCCACCGCAGCCAGGCCCCGGGGAGCCCACACGGTGGGACTCATGCTTACCCGCCACACGGGGTCGTCGTGAGCACGCCCTAAGAGGCTGTGCGAGCCTGGCTGGGAGAAGGAGGATCCCCGCCCCCATCCCCAGGGTGATCCTGGCCCTGCTGCGGGCTTAGGCATACCTTTGCCACTTGGCTCGGCTGGCCCTGAGCTCCAGGAAGGCAGCGCTATGGTGGACACTTGGGCCACCTGCCACTCGTCTCTGACAAGACCTGCAGGCTCCCTAGTGGATTCTTAGTGCCGGGCTCAGGCTGCAGGTTTGGGGATGCCGGTGGCTTAGGGAAGGGGTGTTGGGGACAGAGGCGAGGTCCCAACCTGCTCTGCTCCCCCCACAGAGATCCGTGAGGCCTTCAAAGTCTTTGACCGCGATGGCAATGGCTTCATCTCCAAGCAGGAGCTGGGCACGGCCATGCGCTCCCTGGGCTACATGCCCAATGAGGTGGAGCTGGAAGTTATCATCCAGCGGCTGGACATGGATGGTGAGCACCAACCCCTGCCTCCGTATCCTCACCCCTCACCTGGGCCTCTGAGGCCGAGCCCGCCCTCCAGGTACCCCCAAGCCCATGGCGGTAGGCAGCCAGGTCTGGCCTCATTTCACAGCCTGGAGAATAGACGCTAGAGTGCCATGGCCCCAGCCACACCCACACACGGAGGTTTAGAGGCTCTGCCTCTCTAGCTCTGCATTCTGAGCAGTTCGTTTAAGATAGTATTTTTAAGTCATCTCTACCCCCAATGTGGGGCTCAAACTTGCAACCTCGAGACCAAGAGTTGCGCGCTGTACGGACTGAGCCAGCCAGGTGCCTCCCGAGCAAATTTTTTTAAAGCACAGAGAAGTAGAAAGGCTATACTAAGTACCCCAGGTCCCATCACCCGAAATAAAAAATCATTTAGTTGTATTTGCCACCTGGCATCTTATTAAGGAAAACCTAGTAAAAAAGGCTGGTAATATCCAGTCTCCTCTTCTTGTTACTCCCACCCCCACCATGGGCCTCCATCCCTGCCTCCCCTCCACCCACAGAGCAGGTGGTGGTCTGTGCAGTTTGTGCCCTGAGTTTCAGTTCCTGTCTGTGGAGTGAGGATGTCAGGCCTCACACCTGCTGGGAAGCCACGTTTCTGAGTAAAATGCAAGGCTCCCCCATGTGCTTGGGCCCATCTGCCGCACCCCATCTCCACTTTGCAACCACCATATTTGGTGGGTTTAGTCCCTGAAAATAACTCAAGGCTCAGAGGAGGTGGGACCTGCCCAAGGTACCCCGTGACCGAGGTGGCCCGGGACCCAGCCCGGTTGTCAGCTGGCCCACTGATTGGACCTGTGCCTGCTCTAGGTGATGGCCAAGTGGACTTTGAGGAGTTTGTAACCCTCCTGGGACCCAAGCTTTCCACCTCGGGGATCCCAGAGAAGTTCCATGGCACTGACTTCGACACTGTCTTCTGGAAGGTAAGTGCTGGCTGGTTGGGACTTAGGGTTGTACACACTGTGGAGGGCTGTACAGGGTCAGTGAATGGCCAGGGCCATCCATAAAGGCAGGTGACTATCCCAGGCATCTGTCCCCTGGATGTCTTATCTTCCAGAGGGCCAGGGGCCGGCCGGGGGAGGCTGGTGTGGTCAAGGACTCAAGGAATGGAGTGAGTGGTTTCCAGTTCTCCAGAATCCAGAGGCCCATCACTGGGCTTGTGTGGCAACAGGGTGCTGGGTGGTGGCCGTGGTGGTGGCAGTGGCCAGAGCACTGTGTCTCTTCCCCAACCCAAGTGTGACATGCAGAAGCTGACCGTGGACGAGCTGAAGCGGCTGCTGTACGACACCTTCTGTGAGCACCTGTCCATGAAGGACATTGAGAACATCATCATGACGGAGGAGGAAAGTCACCTGGGCACCGCTGAGGAGTGCCCCGTGGACGTGGAGAGTGAGTGACTGGCCCCCAGCCCTCCCCCCACCCAGGGGCAGGCCAACTGCTGGGGGCAGGGGGAGGAGGAGGACCCGGGGATTGCAGGGGATGGCTGGGGGCCTCCTTGCCCACCCCACGCTTTGTGTCCCCGTGGGACGAACCCACATGCGGGCAGTGCAGGCGGCTCCTGATTCCGCGCTTCGCTGTCCCCGTCTGTCTCTCTCTGGTGCTCCCTGGCGGGCGGCCACAGCCTGCTCCAACCAGCAGATCCGCCAGACGTGTGTGCGCAAGAGCCTGATCTGCGCCTTCGCCATCGCCTTCATCATCAGCGTCATGCTCATCGCGGCCAACCAGGTGCTGCGCAGCGGCATGAAGTAGGCCCAGGCAGTGCGTGGGGCCCACTCCACACTCCCCACCGCCCGCCGTCCTCTCCTGCACTCGGCTTCCCCGGGCCACCGCCACGTGTACTTCAGGGCCCGGACGTCCGGCAACCCCACCCCATCTGACCTGAGGGCCCTTGCATGGTGCCGTGGCCCGGCTGCGGAGGGCCTGGTGGTTGGTTCCAAGGACAGCCCCCGGCCCCGCCTGCACCTGCCCGCGCCTGTATGTAGCACTCTCTCCCTCCCACTGTCCAGGGGCTCCTGGGAAATCTAGGAGGCATCTATACAGGGTCCGCTAGCTGATGTGGTCACTTAGACAGGAAGAAGCAGCACCCTGTGCCTGGGGCCACAAAGCCAACCTGACCCTGGTCCCTGAGATTTGCCCAGGGCCATGGGCCGGGTGGAGATGGGGGCAGGAGGCTTCCTCCTGGAGAGGGGGTAAGCCTGGGGTCTCCTGGGCCCTATTCCCTGGCCAAGCCTGAGGAGGCCCCTGGCCTTCTCTAGGGTCCCTTTCTCTGATCCTCCTTAGACTCAAACCCAGCCTTCCTCCAGGCACCCACTGGGGGCAGAGCATTTGCCCATTTCACAGATGAGCAGCCTGAGGCCCAGAGGGCCCCCAGATACGGTACCCCCTTCAACAGGAATTTTTCAGAAAGGGCAAAAGCTCCCAGCAGATGGGGCATCTGAGGTGGCTCAGCAGTCTCTGCACCCTCTGAGCCCCCCAGTCTGAGGCCCACCGGCCCGAGGGCCACACTGCCCACCACCACCCAGCACAGAATCTAGAACTGGAGTGCAGTGAGGCAGGAGGCAGACCAGGGGCCTAGAGGCTCTATATCGCCCAAGAGCCTGTGTGACTGCCCCACCAGCCCAGGGACTCCTCCAGGCAGAAGACTTGGGGGAGGGCCCAGTGTCATTGCTGGGCTAAGGGGCTGGTATAGCCCAGCACTGTGGGTGCCAAGAAACTCAACCAGGCCACTCCCCCAAGTCCAGGGACTGTCCTCTTGGGTCCCCCAACCTCTCTACACAGGCCAGAGACACAGCTCCCACCGGGCCCCGGTTCTGCCATCTCACGTTCGGGCACCAGCTCAGTATGGGCAGATGTGGGGACTGGAGACAGCGGACGGAGTCCCTGAGCTCTTCTCCCAGATCCGGAGTCCCCTTACACCCGGGTGACCATCCCAGCCACACTGGCACACCCTCTGCCCAGCTGTGCTGAGCCCCCGCCGGCCCTCCCAGGAGAAGGGCCACAGCGCTCCTCACCCAGCAGAGGACCTCATCTCAACCCCAGTCCCGCCCGTCCTCAGACCAGGGGCTTGGGGAGCAGAGCTGACGGCGCTGGCCAAGGACGAAACACACCACCATGGTGACAGACTTTCTTTATAAACACCCAGAAGGAAGTTTTCTCATCCATCTTCTCAGGATGTCCCATGAGGGCAGGAGGGTGTAACTGCCTAGAGCAAAGCTAGGACTGGGGCTAGGACCAATGGCTTCAGGAGGCAGTGGGCGCCCCTCCCCCCGTGTCTCCAGGAGGGGCCCTTATCTGTATCGTGACTGACACCGAAGCTGACCCGAGGGGTGTCAGGTGGGGACGAGAGGCTCAGCCCCACTGGACGCTGGGCTGCAGGGGCCACCCCCCGGGTGGGGGTGCCCGCAGGGATGGAGGCAGCTCCTGGACCGGCGGCCAGCCTATGGGGTACTGGAAGATGGTGGTTCTCATGGGTTCGGCCCTAGAGAGGAGGAGAAAGTCAGAAAATGAGAATGGGGTCCAGCCCCAGCCTGGGCTGAGCCACCTGCCCCGAGTACCCCCTCTCCCCACCACCCCAGCTACGGTCAGCTGCTTGAGTGACCTTTCTGGAAGGTGGAGCCTCAAAAACACGCAGACCCTTCGAGCCAGCAATCACACCTCCAGGAATGAGCCCAGATGAAACAGCAGGGCTGTGGGGAGAGACTGAGCTACAAGCAGCAGAAAAAAACCTGTGTCCACCTGTGGGGGACTGATTAAACACACCTGCACGACCACAGCAGCGAATGCTAAGCAGCCCGAGTAATGGTGAAGGCAGCCTTGTATGCACTGATAAGGAAAGGTGTCATGATGTACTGTGTGAGTAGAGAGAAAAAGCAGCTTATAAAATAATGTATATAGCATGATACTATTTTTGTTTAAAGATATATAACATATATAAATGCATAAAAAAAAACCCTGGAAGACAAAGCAAAATGTTAACAGTGGTTCTATCTGCGTGGTGTAGTTATGGGTGACTTTTTTACTTCCTTTATACTTTTCAAGAAAAGTTTTACAAGCATGCAAGCCTTGGAAATCAGAAAAAAAAATATTGTCTAAACTTTTTTTTAAAAGCCTCATTTCTCATGCAGCTCACTCTCCTTCCCCTGGAGCGGCCACCTGGGAACCCAGGGCCTATGTGGAGCATCTGCCCTGGGTGCCCAGCCAGGGGCTGCCTGTCCTCAGGGAGCAGACTGAGGTGCAAAGGCAGTCCCCGCCCCTCCCTCGCCCCCCAGCTCCACATTCCAATGCTTCTGGACTTAATCCCCACCCAGTCCGCTGTTGCAGGGCCTCCATGCCCCTCACAGGCTACGGAGCACTTTGAACTCACCGGAGAGCTCATGTCTCCCCTGTGGGACTGGAGCTCTCATGTGGAAGAGACCAGGAGGCTAGGGGTGGTGTCCGCCAGTCCCCCAGGAGCCAGAGCCAGGCCTGGCGCAGGGAGGCCACCCAGTGAATGTCTGCTGACGACGAGGAGTCACGCTGAGTGCCCTTACTGACTAGGCACTGCCTTGGGCCAGACACCAAGGTCTAGAGAAACCTCAAGCACCTTCATGTGAACCCCATTTGATAGATGAGGCAACTGAGGGGTGAAGAGTCAGTCACACAAAGTCAGGGATTGGGGGATTAAGAGCTAACGGGCAACATGGATGTGGGCTCCAGACACTGCCCCCAGGCCGCAGGCCCAGCTCTCAGTGGAGGCTGGGATCCAGCCCTCTGCCAAGGGGGAAAGTCCTGGGCCTCTGAGAGGTTTGGAGAGGCCTCAGGCCTCCGATGCAGAGGTGGTGGCTGGGGTCCGGATCCCTGGGAGTTTGCCTTGCCACCACCACCGCCCCCCAGCCTGACACTCTTGGGGCCTGACCCGCAGGAGGGAGCACACTTGAGGACTTCAGGCGGCCTCCTGGTACAAGAGGCCAGGGAAATCCCCTGCTTAGCCGCTCGCTGCCTGCTGGAGAGTGCGGGAAGCAGCTCCCAACGTGATTTATGGCACTGAGGAGACTTCATAAACTCCGCCAGCTGCAGAGAAGGGTGGGAGTGGGGGAGCTCCGCCGTTGCTGGAAGGGAGAGCCCCAGCTGCCAGCCAACCTCGGGCTTCCCGCAGGGTTAAAGTGACTGCAATTCTCTGCAGAGAGGGTGTGATCCTGGTGAACCCCTTCCTGTGAGCCCCAGACCCTTCTCTAGAAGATGGGGCCGATTCCTGGGCAGCTGGGGCCTCCCACCAGCATAAGGGCAGCCCCTTCATGGGCTCAGACATGGACACATTCTCAGGGCCCCTGAGCTCTTGGAGCACACTCCTCCTGTCCCACACAGAGCGCACGGGACACTGGGGTGCACAAGGCCGACTGTGGCCTCTCTCGTGGCCTGTGTGCCCCCGGCGCAAGGACAGGAGCAGCTCTCTTTTGCTTTTCCCCAGTCACGGTTCTGAGCCGAAGAAAAGAGTCTTAGGGAAGCGCCTGGGCTGGAACAGTAGCGCCAGTCGGAAGAGGGGTGCAAAAGGGGGAGATTAAGAGGGATAAAGTCACAATCTGAAGAGCCAACAATGGAAAACAGGGACAAGCACTGGCCTTGCCGGGGGATTAGTCCACATCTGAGGCCAGCCTCTCCCTCTTGCCACTGTCTGCTCTGGGCAGATCCCTCAGGGTCAGTGGGCCAAGGAGGATGGTGCCATGTGCCAGGCTGGGGGCTCACAGGGCCTCTATTTCCCCCTTTTACAAGAAGGGTTGGCCTGGTACACCTCGAAGCCATGGCTCAGGCCATGGGGTTGGAGCCCTCAGGTGCAGGTGGCCCCATGGGGACCAGGCAGCCATCTTCACCCTGTACCTCGGGGGAGGAAACACACCCAGAGAAGAGGAGCCACCAGACTGGTCCCCAGAAGGGGTCCACAGCACCAACACCCAGGGAATAGTCCTCCAGGCCAGGGACCCTGCTCCCCTACATGCTCAGATGCAGTCAACATGGCCTGAGCCTGCGCCAAGCCTGAACGGCAACAATGTAAGCTCGGCGCCGAGAGGGGGGCGTCTTAGCTAAAGCCTGAAGGATGAGTCTGCTTTGCCAGGCAGAGGTGGGGAGGCAGTTCCAGGCAGACAGAGTAGTGTACACATGTGCACCAAACAGAAATGCCCACGACATCCAAGAAGCCGCCAGCATCCCGAGGGACTGACAGATGCCAGATGAAAAAGGTGAGGGGACTGCATGGGCTTGGGCTTCCCTGGGGTCTGTCGAGCTGGGTGGCAGAGTGCAGAGTCCCTGAGGTCGAGGAAGCCCAGGAGGGTTGACGCAAGGGTCGGGGCCTGGTCAGGGCCTGGAAGTGTTTTAGAAGCGGGCTGGGGCTGTTCTGTGGAGGACAGTCAGGAGGGGCAGAGTCTAGGTGGGAGACCGGGAGGGACTGCTGCGTCCGTGGGGGAAGCTGGGGTGCGTGAGGGGCACAGAGGGAATGGTCTCTGTGGGGCTGCTTCCAGGGTAAGAGACTCGGGGACCAGGACGAAGCAGCCCGGGGACTTGAATCCCCTGACCCAGCAGGGGCCCTGCCACAAGTGGAGGCGCAGAGCCCAACACCCATGGGCTGCGGACTAAGGGGCTCTCCTTCCTGAGAACGCCCTATGGGAGAGGGCTTGAGGAACACCGAAGCAGTGACGGCCAAGGTAATAAATGGTCACCTCCCTTCTAGCAACGTTTTTCTTAAGGCCAGAGAGGCCTGCTCTGCCCCAATAGCAATC